TTTTACCTTATGTCTATTCTTATCAACAATTCCTCCAATAATATAAACTTTATTTTCATCCAATACATCTAAAGTATTTGTTGAATCTGCCGTCAAATAAATTAAATCTTCTTTATTGAGACATTCTAAATATGATCTTGTATCGAAAACTACTTGTTTCCAATTAACGTGATCTTTGAGTTTATCATTAAATCTTTCACGCACTCGACCTCCGTATGAAGTGAAAAATAAGGTAACAGGATTGGTCGATGATCGATTGGCCGAATAACATCGAGTCAATTGTGATGTAACGGAAGTAATTTCCTTTGACAATTTTTTTTTTCCAAGTAGTCAGTCAGTCTATTATTAATTCTAATACATAATTATATAATTTATAAAATAAATATTTATATTATTCGATTATAATGGAATTGTAAATTTACCACATCGGTCATATAGTTATCGAATGATAAATCAATTACAACTTTCATTTTACTTGGAATTTGTTCAATTTTTTTCTTTTTAACAGGTGGAGGGATGAGTCCTTAATTAATATGAATGAATGAATGAATAAACCTTGAATCAATCTATTTTTTTTTAAATATGTGAAAAAAAAAATAAATCACCTAATTCTATTGCTTCTTTTTTTTCTAATTTTTTCCTTTTATCCTTTTCTTTTTGAGCCACTTTACGAATTTCCCGTGTTTCTTCCCATTTTTGTTGTTTTCGTAATTTTCTTAAAGCATTCTTGGATAAATGTGAATTAGGTTTAAAACCAACATTTTTATTTTTATCATTATTGTTATCTAAAGTATTAATTGTTTCCGAATCGTTAATTGATTTTTCCATGATAATTAATCTAATCGAATTTTTAGCACTATAAAATAACTCTTTCAAATTCGTACGACGCATTATTTTTTTTTTTTAGACTGTGCCTTTTGGATTAGATCAATATCCATTTTAAGTGAAAAAGTAGATATAAGAAGCAATTTGTGGTTTCACGGATTTGGAAGCATTTTTTAAAAAAGAAGCAATAGAATTAGGTGATTTATTTTTTTTTTCACATATT